TCATGAAAACAAGCTAACTGATCTGAAAACTTACAACGCCAGTGAATTTTGTTTGATTCGTGCCAAATTATCCAAATTAGAAGTGAAAGTTACTAACATGCAAGACAAAATGAGAGGAGGAGCAAGCACTTACCAGAAAAACCAAGGGGGATCAGGAGAAAAAGAAAACCAGACAGACGGATCCATGCTACATCTGCAAAGAGTTAGGGCATTGGGCCCCAAGATTGCCCCGAAAAAAACAGGATTCGTGCTACAAGTGCGGGAAATTTGGCCATTGGGCTAATCAGTGTACAGAGGATGAGGAGGATCAACAATTCGCCAAAGAAATACAAAAAATGGAGAAAAAGCCTCAGGAACCCAAGATCTCAGGGACCCACCGACCAAACCTCCAGTGAAAGAAGGAGACAAAAAAGAGAAAAAGGAACACAACAGAGAAAATCCAGGACCCAGCACTACTCACAAGAGGAAACTATCCCTGATGACCGATAAGGCCCAGAAGAAGAAAAAGTAAATTGTTGTATTTTTTTACTTGAATAAAATCTGTGTTCTTGTTTCTATTGTGTGTTATTGTTTTTTTTCAGTTTTCGGAAAATCACTGTGAATGAGTGACGTCATAATCAAATTCTTGAGTATTTGCCAAAATCGTAGTAGCAGCGTTATGAATGGTAGTAGCAGCAGCGTATAGTATATAATGTAAACACAGTGTAAACACACCCCCGTATTTAGGGGGGATTATATGTACTGAATTGACCCAGCTATCCCCCACAGGGGCTGCACTCCCTTGACCCGCCTATCCCCCCCCAGGGGCTGCACTCAGTTGACCCGCCTATATCCCCCACAGCCCCAAAAGTGCACTCAGTTGACCCGCCTATCTAGGCCCTTTATACTACTTGCGCATATTTAACATTAGTGCGACACGGGTTGTCTTAATCGAATACACTCTTACAGTTCCAGCGGGAAATAGACATTAAGTAAATCGTGTGAAAGGACAACGACTCACTCTGCCATGGATATAACTCATTGAAAATTACTTACACTCTTCTTTATAAAAAATAACTTCCCAAAATAGTAAATCTTGGTCGAATGAACACAAGAGCACACAAGAGCAATGCACTTAATTTTTAGTTCCCTGCAATAAATTAAGACCTCTTTAAAAAAAATTTTGATCATTAATAAAATTTGCAGAATGAATTGTCTTTACAATATTTCAGCCAATTTAATTTCATGTCTTATTTAAAATGTCAACACTCGCATATTCTTTCAGGTAAAAAATAGTTTCGAAGGCAATATCGTCATATATTATCTCTGTATAAAAACATTTTGGTTCAATTTTTATTTGGTGTATGCGGAACATCATGTTAATATTTTGTTTTATTTATACTAAATTTTATTCACATAAGTGAACGTAAAATATGTATTCCCTCACATGTCACATTAGTTGGGAAATATTATGAACTGATGGAATCTGTAACAATATTTCTTAAACGAAGTGCCTAATAGTTTGTATTTCTTATAGAAGATACATCATCACAGATTTTTAAAAATCATGCAGTTATATTTGCAGTTATATTAAAAATCTTGTTCTCATCACACAATTATAAATAGATCCGAGTAATGCCTTGTAAAGCATAAAATTATTCAAATCGACAACACAACTACTTAGCTACAATTTAAAGGAACGTGTTATTTGTTTAATATCAATCAATCAATCATAACTTGATTCTTTTTGTAGACAGGGATACCAATGCTGCTATAATCTATACCCGGACCCAAGAAATAATATTTGCAAAGGTAAATTAAAATGAATTATAAATACATTATACATATATTATCTGTTAACGTTTGAAAGTCATTTGATTGTTATTTGATATCTTAGAAAGAAGTTACATACAAACGAATATGTGCAATAAGACATTATAACTTTAACCTATACACAAATTCTGAGAAGGTCGTTTTCAATTAAATGATTGGTTTGTTTTGCTTCTGAAAAATATAAATGTTAATATTTTATGCATTCTTTTGGCTAATTTAGAATGTCCCTATGGAACATATGGTTGGAACTGTAAACAGAAATGTGCTTCAGGTTTTTATGGACGACTGTGTCTGTCTGTTTGTGAGTGTCCCGACACTGAATGTGACAGAGTCAACGGATGTATTGCAGGTATTTTATAGAATTCATAAAAACATATCATAAGTTACATGTATGCTAATTTAAAGCATTTTCTTAATACCATGTAGCTGAGCTAATTGATTTTTTTCCCATTCGGAAATTTATAAAGTCATATTATTCTTTATAAGTATCCGCATTTAATTCACATCACTTTCAATACACTTTTGTTCAGGAGGTTTGACATTTTTTAATGTCGTTATCATTCTGAATGAAGGAGGAGGCTTGGTAAAACATTTAAAGGATTATTTTGGAAGTTTGGTGGAAAATTTACTCGCTATGAATCTTTATTCTAATGATTTTTATGAAGTTTTGGAATTAAATGTAATGGTATTTTTCATGAAAATATTCATTTCTGGAAAATAAAAAACCCAATAAATATATAATATGAAATTAAATTAGCATCCCCTGCCGACCGGTTATACCCGCCGTGTCCTCTTTGTCATGATCGGAACTTACGAAAAAAAATCCGTCCTCAATTCAATGTACGAATTAGCAATTTCTAAAACCAGGTAAATTAGTGACAAACGATTGATGAAGCAAGAACATCAGTAATCTCGTTTAAAGTCATCATTTCGTAAGTTCTATGGTCGAGACCTGGATGGCAAATACACTTCCTCATTGAGTCAAATGCTGACTGAAGTTTTTCATACTAATTGTTAGTCCATTAGTTATACTCTAAATTGGCGATGAATTTTTCCGTTATTTCTTTATCATGACAAGGAGCACAAGGTGGATTTGTCCTTTCTGGGGTTGCGCTCTCTTCCATAGAACCTGATTTCACCTCTGATGTTTTGGAGGCCCGTGTTTGCTGTGCTCCTATTTTATATTGTTTTATTGACTTTTGATCTTGAATAGAGGTTGTTATCTCTATATGTTTTATTTCAACATTGAACCATATCTAGACTGAAGATAATACGAAAAAGATATATCAACATGTTGAGTTTAAGGCGTAGTTAAGGTCTTCCGTCTCCAACGGAAGACCTTCTTGTTATTCTTCGGTTTCTTTTTCCCAATTATTATTATTCTTACCAATTTTGTGCACGCGATTTCTCGTAAACTACTAGGGCCGATTCTCATAAAACTTTCACATCTTATAGGTATTTTCATCTGAACCTTATTGGAAATTTTTTTGTTGATGACATCACTTCCGGTCGTGAAATATCGACAATTTCCTGATTTCAAAGTGCAATTTTGTCTGAACTTAGTAGCGAAAACTGCTTAAGATATGAACTTGAGACTATTTGAGATGATAGTTCATGACTTATAGCTTTGCAGAATAACCTTTCCGTGTGTCATCAATACTTCCGGTCGCTACCGGAAGCGAATTTAAAAAACGCAATTTTTCAATTTTTGTTTTTTAATATTTTTGTTTTTGAAATCGATAAGGACCCGTTTGCAAAAGCGAAATATGTAATTTGTTTGAAAATCAAAAAAGCCAATCTCGAGATATTAGCATTTGAAAGTTCGAAGCGGCGATCTCAATGGCTAAATGGTTAGCGTGTTGGATTCTCACGCGGGCGACCCGGGTTCGATCCCCCATGTGTCCAAAAAATTTTATCATTTTTTCTGCCTGATTTTTCGTTATTTTTCAATTTTATACGATTTGCAATTATAGATTTTAAAATTTTGATCATATCTTGCGTAATTAGGGGTCAAAAAGGGGCCAGAATGTCAAATCTTTGACGCTTTATATCTCGTAAAGGGGGAACATTTTGATAAGCAATATTGAACAAAAGATGGGCAGAATAATGTTCTAAACAATATGCATACTTTGAATTTTTGTAAAACGGCCCCATTAAGGACTTGTAGGAGTGGCACCTAAATATTTCCATTTAGCATATCTCCACAACGAATAGAAATCTCTGAATAAGTTTTGAACAAAAAATCTTCAAAATCACAAAACCTTTCATTTGATATCAAGAAAAAGGGGCTGACCCCTCAAATTAGGGGATCAGAGGGGCAAAAGGTCTTTTATCTATAACTCTCTTATGATCAATATCTTGTTACACATTACTGAAGCAAAAGTATTTATCTTAACGATTTGCAATTATATAATACAATTTTGATCATATGTTACGTAATTAGGGGTCACAAGGGGCCAGAATGTCAAATCTTTGACGCTTTATATCTCGAAAAGGGGGAATATTTTGATAAGCAGTATTGAACAAAAGATGGTCAGAATAACATTTTAAACAATATGCATACTTTGAATTTTTGTAAAACGGCCCCGTTAAGGACTTGTAAGGGTGGCCCCTAAATATTTCCATTTATCATATCTCCACAACGAATAGAAATCTCTGAATAAGTGTTGAACAAAAAATCTTCAAAATCATAAGACCTTTCATTTGATATCAAGAAAGTGGGACTGACCCCTCAAATTAGGGGCTCAGAGGGGCCAAAAGTCTTTAATCTATAACTCTCTACTGATCAATATTTTGTTATACATTACTGAAGCAAAAGTATTTATCTTGACGATTTGCAACAATATATGAAACAATTTTGATCATATGTTACGTAATTAGGGCTCACAAGGGGCCAGAAAGTCAAATCTTTAACGCTTTATATCTCGAAAAGGGAAAAATATTTTGATAAGCAGTATTGAACATAAGATGGTCAGAATAATGTTTTAAACAATATGCATACTTTGAATTTTTTTTAAATGGCTCCATTAAGGAATTGTAGGAGTGGCCCCTAAATAAATTTCATTTAGCATATCTCCAATCGAATAGAAATCTCTGAATAAGTGTTGAACAAAAAATCTTTAAAATCAAAAGACCTTTCATTTGATATCAAGAAAATGGGACTGACCCCTCAAATTAGGGGCACAGAGGGGCCAAAAGTCTTTTATCTATAACTCTCTAATGATCAATATTTTGTAATACATTACTGAAGCAAAAGTATTTATCTCAACATATTTGCAACAATATATTATTAAATTCTGATCATATATGACGTGATAAGTGGTTGCAAGGGGCCAAAATTATATATTTTTTATGCTTTATGTCTCAAAAAGAGGGAGTATTTTTATAAGCCAAATTGAACAAAAGATGTTCCGAATATCATGATAAAAAAGAGAAACTTTAAAATTAATGAAGGAAAACTTAATGTCATTCTCTTTTAACGAATATCTCAGTCATACTCACATCTCATCTTATCGAAAAATTCAACGGAAGACCTACTCGTTGCTCGCAACGAGATCTCATCTAGTTATTTTTCTTTTTCTTATAAACATGATTTTGAGAAAATACACATGATTACAAAAATACCCCTATCATTAACGATGCACGATTAGCATCCACAGATGTTCCATGACAATGACTTAAAAACAGACTTAAATAAAAATTTCAAACCAAAATATTTTTTGAAATAAATTTGATAATGAAACAATATTTTCGTCATATGGTTGAATTCAAATGTTTTACGAAATTTCAATTTGTTTACAAAGTACATTCAATATAACTAAAAATATTAAAACTTTAAATTTTTACTTAAGGCTGTTCTCATTTTATGGTCTTGATCTTGGTACCATAGACTGAGAATGTGTTTAAGTCAAAGCTTTAATTTTTAACACCCGGAGTTTGATTTAATATATTTTGAAAATGTGAAGGATGGGGTTACATTTAGAATAGTTGATTTTGTTTTGATGTGAAATTATCTCATATTATGAGGAAATAAAGAATGAATGAATGAATGAATATCAAAAGCTCAATTAATGGAACCCGCTATGTATCTTGTGAATCCAATATAGATAAGATAATTTAAAGACATTTTGATTGCTTGTAATATTTTTTAAAAATTAAACTGAAATAAGATATGCAAGATTTTCTCTTAAGGTAGTATGGAAAGTTGGATTACAAATACCAGAGTAATCTACAAATTCCTCTAAGATAAAATTAATATCATGAGCATTACATACAAAAATAACTGATGAAGAATAATATTACGCTTGATTTGTCATCTGTGCATATGGTCTATGAATCCGTATTTATTTTGATACAGCGCAGCACATGGCAAGCGTGTCTTTACCACGGCGCTTAACGACCATGACTACAGGATTGGAAACAGGTAGAACAAACGAATTTAGTTAAACAAGCATTAAATCATAAAAAAGATTCGTTTAATAAGAAGATCTGCCCGTATCATTATAACAAGTAGCAAACAGCGGGTGTGACCGGTCGGCAGGATGTTGACTCCTCCATGGCACCTGATCCAACCTCTGATTTTTTGGAGGTCTGTTTTGCTATGCTCCAATTGTGTATCGTTTAATGGACTTATAAACTTAGATAAAGTTTCTTATTTCAATATATATCCTTCTTTACATTTTGCAACTTCTAAGCTTAAGAAAATCTTTCAAAGTCACTTGATGAACAACTTGTTTCTTATAAGGAACAACATTTTATGTTAATACATGTATATTGTACACAACGCCTGACGATTCTCCTTTACAACTTTTATAATTTTAAGGAGGAAGTTGAACATTTAATGGAAGCCACTATGGTGTTTTTGTGTGCAAGGATCATTAAATTGTTTGGGAATCATAAGATAAATTCAAAGTCATTTTGATTGTTGGAAATATAAAAAATAAAATAAAAACTGAATATGATTTTGAAGAATGTTCTCTTGGTTAGGGAAGTCAGATTACATAATTCACTCAAAATCCAATTCGATTAACATAAAATGAGCCTCAAAAGCAAAATAATTTAAAAAATAATACAATTCGAATGTGTCAACTTGGCATTTGTTTTACCAACCCGTTTTTATTCTGGAACAGGGCGACAAACAACAAATATGCCTACACAACAGGACTTAACGAGCCACCGGACATTTAAAGGGCCAGTCCATGTAACAGGTAGGACAATGGGTTTTAGTTGAATAAGCTGCAAATAATATCAGGGTATAACTGAAAGTGTGTTTCTTAGATAAAGAGAAAAAAAAGAATCATATTAAATAATAAACGATAAATAAATTAACTCCGTTTTCTTAAGATAGTGTGCAATATTGATATTTGTTGTGTTTTTTACTAAACTACATTTAACTAAGAAAATTATTTTAATGTTGTGCACACTCACGCGTAAAAATATACACGAGGAAACTCACGCGTACGTGACGTTACAATAACACTATGTACAGAGATGCTATTGGGCAGACGGAAAATAAAATATTGATTTTTTTTAGTGTTTTTTAATCTGTTTAAGGTTAGTATGAACCATTGGTTGTGTAAAATTACAATATGATTTATATAAATTTCGAAATTGCGCTTAATAAAATATGACTAGATATGTACGTACGTTTCATCCTATTATCTATATTGTTCGACTTCCAAGCTTAAATATACCTTTCAAAGCCACTGCATGAACAACTTGTGTCTCAAAATGAACAAGGAGTCAGGTATATTCATGTTTATCATTCTTTAATTAATTCATTGTTGATGATCTTCTTTGTCTATCCAGTGATATTGATTTTCTTACATAATGATCATATGTTTATAGATCTACATGTAAATTGTAAATGCAATTGATGACACTTGTCACTTTTCCTATTGGACATTTTTGATTAAAAGAATTTATTTTTCTCGAAATATTCTTTACTTCATACTTTTTATTTTGCATTTGCTACGCGTATGTCTTAAATTTCATAAAATTTTGCATTATAAACTTTCCATAACCATATATTGATTGATTGATTGTTTGTTGTTTAACGTCCCTCTTGAGAATTTTTCACTCATATGGAGACGCCACCACTAGCCGGTGGAGGGCTACAAATTTTGTCCTATGCTCGGTGGCACTCAGGGCCTTTGAGCAGTGAGGGATCTTTTTCGTGCCAGCACCTACTGCGACACGGGGCCTCGGTTTATACGGTCTCATCCGAAGGACTGGTCCCCACGTCCCGCAGTGGGATTCGAACCCGCGACGTAAGGATTGACTTCTTACTTCGCGACTCTAGAGCAGACGCTCTAACCACTGCGCCACGCGGGCGACTCCATAACCATATATAGAACAAGAGGCCCAGGGGCCACAGCGCTCACCTGAGCAAATCGGCTCGGAAAAAGCACATATCAGATCAGAACTGAAAGTTTACTGAGGTGGGGGGGGTGGGGGGGGGGGGGGCTTGAATTTTAACCCCCCCAGGGGATCATGATTTGAACAAACTTGAATCTACACTACCTGAGGATGATTCCATATAAATATTACTAATCATGGCTTTGAAGTACTTGAAAAGAAGATTTTAAAAGGTTTCCCTATATATTCCTATGTAAAACTTTGATCAGCCATTTTGGTCCCATCCTACCCCTTGGGGTCAGGATTTGAATAAACTTGAATCTATACTATCTGAGGATGATTCCACATGAGTTTCATTTTTCCTGGCCCAATGGTTCTTGAGAAGAAGATTTTTGAAGATTTTTCCTATATACTCATATGTAACACTTTGATCGGCCATTTTGGCCCCACCCTACCCCCGGGGGTCATGATTTGAACAAACTTGAATCTACACTACCTGAGGATGATTCCACATGAGTTTCATCTTTCCTGGCCCAGTGGTTCTTGAGAAGAAGATTTTTTAAAAATGCCATTAATTTTTCTCTTATTCATAATTATCTCCCCTTGGAAAAGGGTGTGGCCCTTCATTTGAACAAACTCGAATCCCCTTCACCCAGGGATACTTTGTAGCAAGTTTGGTTGAAATTGGCCCAGTGGTTCTTGAGAAGAAGATGAAAATGTAAAAAGTTTACGACAACGACGACGACAACAACGACGACAACGACGACAGACGACGGACAAATTTTGACCAGAAAAGCTCACTTGAGCCTTCGGCTCAAGTGAGCTAAAAACTATTGGATATCTGGTTTTTTGAAGGCAAAGTTAGTATTAATTCTTATCATGGAATTTGAAATGCTTTTGTTTATATTTTGTTTCATGGTTTTAGGGATCTGTGCTACATTATGGATTTTTTCACTTTAAAATTAATTTGAGCAAGAATCTTGAATCACATGTTTTTTTTCTTAATATGTTTCGGGAAAAAAATAAATCTAAGACCACTCTTTGAAAACAAAAACAAAATGAAAACACTAGATAAAATTTCTTCATCAAAATTTCAGTTTCATCATTTTAAGATTTTTTTTTTAAAGTAAAAAAATTATCTTTTTCTTATTTCAGATTTAGACGTCTAGATTTGATGAATCTTATCTGTGAGAATAATAAAGGAAAAACACTAACTGTTATCAAAACTTACTATATAAACCCATGGAAGTCAGATTTTTCTAGGTCTATGTCTGCTATGCTCCAAATTTGTATTGTTTAATGGACTTCTGAGCTTCACAACTGGTCTTTATTTCCATATCTCCATATATTTCATTCATTTATTCTGTTCGGGACATAGTCTTATAACTTATCCATTCTTAACGCCTATGATGTAGTAGAACTGGATATATTAGAAATATTAGATTGAAAATAGATAGTTTGCAGGGGATGCTCACTCCTACACGATCCCACCTCTGCGATGAAATATAAATAAACGAGAGCTGTTCGAAAAGTTCATGGTCGATGTAAATCTTTGTTATATTACTCACTAGAAATTTAAAATAAGCACAATATAATATGTTACACTATTTGAAGGTAGAAGGATCTGAAGATAACAAACAGTATTCAATCTCAAAGTCCATAAAACAATACAAAACAGGAACAGAGCAAACACCGACCTCCAAAACATCAAAGGTGGGATCAGGTGTCATGGAGGAGTGAGCATCCCCTGCTGACCGGTCAAACCCGCCGTGTGCTCCTTGCCATGGTCAGGAAATAACGGAAAAACCCGTCATTAATTCAATGTATAAATAATGGAATAAAAATGAGCCTGAAAAACGTCAGTCAGCATTTGACTCAATGATAAATTGTATTTGCTGACAAGGTCATTGTATCGACCACAGAACTTACGAAATAATGACTTTAAACGAGACGGCTGACATTCAAGTTTCATCAACTTGTTTGTCAATGATTTACCTCGTTTTAGAAATTCTTTGTACGTAGCGCATACCCTTGCGTATCGAATTAACTGAGATATATATACTCCGTATGCAGGTGATGAAGGTATATAGCTGCATAAGTAAGGGAAGTTGACGATAGAAAAGTTAGTCATCACGTTGATCATATAGCTTGGTTGTTAGATTAACATTAACGTCTTTTTGCTGTGGCCTTCAACTCGACATTTAGATATATCGACGACGTATTTTCAATTAATAATGGTAATTTCCATTCCTACGTCGATACGATATATCCTTGTGTGCTTGAGATAAAAGATACCACAGAGTCCGACACTTCTGTTTCATACTTGGATATTTTACTTGAAAAAGACACAAACGCGGCTTCGGTCAGGTCAGGTCACCTCGTGGGCCAGGTCTCGGGTCCTTATTTCACCATGTTGACCTCAAAAGGGGTAATTAATTGCATAATAGTGTTACATATTTAATTTGAAGTATTTTATCAGTTGACTTGATGAGACAAAAAATCGGAGGGCTAGGAAATGAATTCGTTCTATCGGATGTACTTTGGTGCAGTGTTATTTACTTTATTGAACAACTAATTATTGCTAATTAATTACGACCATGTTGAACATTGTTCATTATCTTTTTCTCTCAACATAGCGTAACTTTCTAAGATAGAAAGAAACTAAAGAAAGATAATCTGGAATGGTAATTGTGACAATAGATTTAGGGTATATTAAAATATGTTGATCGGATAAAAGAAATTAAGAAGGCGAGATGGTTTAACCATTTTTAGACTTAAAAGACACCATATATAAAAAAAAAAAAAATGAAGGTATATATGATGTCTTATTTGTTGACCCAAAACCCTCTTTAAAAAATATGTTTAAAATACCTTAATTTGTGGATTGTTCCAAAATTGTTAATGTGAATTAACGGTAAAATTTACACCACATAGACAGACTGAAGTTGTGTATGCTACAATCTGGGATTGAGTCTAGTTCACGTTCATCTTGGTGAAGTCATTAAGTTTGTTAATACTTCTACCAAGTAAGGGATCTCTATATACGCCCGTGGTGGTTGAAGAGCATGAGATGGTAAGTATTAATAACACCACTTTGTATTTCTCATTTCAAAAGTGCTTGTATGGACTCTTTAGATTATTAATGAAAAACTAAATAAAGAGAACACTTAACAAAACTCTCTACCGACGCAAATCTTCTTGCGATTTTACGTAGTCAAATAAAATGATAAAGAGACTTAATTCAACCTAACAATAAAGCATTGAGAGTATAAATGTAATATAATGCAAAC